CTGCACAGATTAGAAACCCAGCAGAGCTTGTGAGAGAAGAGAGGAAGACCACGGCTGCTCCCTGCACAGATTAGAAACTCAGCAGAGCTTGTGAGAGAAGAGAGGAAGGCCACGGCTGCTCCCTGCGAAGATTAGAAACCCAGCAGAGGCAGCGGCTGAGCCACTCACAGGCACCTCTGGTGGACCTTGGCCAGGTGCTTTTGCTTTTCAGCAGGTTTTGATGGCAGGCGCAAAGGCAACAACAGAAAAGCATCAGAAGAGGATGTCACAACTACAGAGGAAGGAAGCTGAACCCTCAGGCCTTTCGAATATCAAAGTGCTTGTTACAGAGCAAGTGAAACAAGAGCAGAAAACAAGACCCACCCCAGGGAGAAGCCTCGGCTAGCAACACTGTGGTGACAACCCGAGGTTGGTCCTTGGAACCCATGGAAAAAGCTGGCATGGGAGCCTACATGTGCCTTCCAGCTCTCTGCAATCAAGAGGAGAAGTAGAGACAGGAGAATGGCTCTGAAGCTCACAGGCTAGCCTGGGGTACATGGCAGCAGAAACAAGAGAAGTAGAAGGTGAGTGCTGACTCCCAAAAGCTGTCCTCTGGACACACGTAACCCTGCCCCTGGCTCCCCAGCCCCCATCCCCACCTCTCCACACACAGTTAACTGATCCAGTCAGGAGCCTGACAGTACATGCTGGTCACTTTTACTCTTTGGTTCTAGTTTTAGAATCACACTCTCAGCCAAAGGGATCCATAGCAATAAAATGTTAAAAATGATTTTAAGAGCTAAGAGATGGCTCAGTGGCTGAGAGCACTTGAGGCTCTTCCAGAGGACCTGGGTTTGGTTCCCAGCACTGATATCAGGCAGCTCACCTGATGTCTTCTGCTGGCCTCTGTGGGTGTTTCTCATGTACATGCCTTACACTGACACAGACACACATATGTACATAAATAATCTGGGATGGGACATGCTAAGACAGGGTTTCACTGTGTAGCTTCGACTGGCTTGGAGCTCACTGTGTAGATCAGGCTAGCCTTGCATTCACAGGGACAGGTCTGCTGTAGGATCCCAAATGCTAGGGTTAAAGGTGCAGACCACCACACAAAGCAATACATTTTAAGAACTTTTCAAACATATGAGCCTGTGGCTTTCCCCCTCAATCATGGTGAAATGCTAGTCAGTAACTTTGATTTTAGGAACTTCCGTCAGAAAGCTCAACGCTAGAATGGTATAATTCCAGCATTCGGGCGGCTCAGGCAGAATTGACATGAGCTTAGGCCAGCTTAGATTACATAGCAAATACCAGGCCAAGCAGGCCACAGTGAGGCCTGTCACAACAAACACACAACAGGAAAGGAACACAGAGCATCATTTTCTGTGTTTCAGTGTTTGCAGGATGGTAAAGCACCTCCTGGTCGCTATCTAGGAATACTCTTTGAATGACCCAAAGACCCAGCTACACCCCAACCTTCTCTACATCCATCTCTCTGCAGAGGTGTAGATGACGTGAACACTTTGGGGGCGATGAGGAAAACGGAGGAAAAAGCTTTTATACTCACACTTGTCCCAGAGGAAGCCAGAGGAAACATGGGGTTTGACTGAGCAAAGGCCCTTGTTGGAATGGCTGCATATGATGTTCCAAGATTCGAGGTATAATCTGAATGATGAACGATACCAGGTTAAACAAAAGAATAACCTAGTCACAAACCTGACCTTCAAAACTCATTACTGGGGAGGTGGCTTGATTGGTTGCTGCTTGCCTTGCAGGCCTGAGGTCATGAGTTCAATCTCGAGAACTCACAGGAAATAGCACTTGCTTGTAATTCCAGTGTTGGAGAGACAGAGACAGGAGTATCTCTCAGGCTCCCTGGTCAGTAACCCTAGACCAATCTGTGAGCTGGAGACCAATGAGAGGCCCCATCTCAACACATTCACATGCATGCACACGTGCTCACACATGCTCACACAGATGCACACAACCCCCCCCCACACACACACACAGGATCCAGACATATGGGACAAGAACACTGTATATTTTCTCTTGCTATACTTATTAGCGTTTGCATGATTTCACCTCTGTGCTTAGTTACAGTTACACTGTAACTGGCACAGGGAGGATCTAAAATACCCCAGAGAACTTTGTCAGTGTTGGACCTGCCTGTCTGCACATACTCAGGAAGCTCCTATCAGGGAAGAACTGGAGTTCAGAGGTAGAACATAAACCTGAGGACTTCATCCTGCTCCCAGCTACCATCTGAGGGCCTCCTCCACTCACCCTCGTTTCCAGTGGGGTTATAAACAGCGGTGCTGTTTGTGGCAACAGGCGGTGGCCCCTCTCCCGAAGCACGTATACTCCGGAGGCCAGCACTAGAAGAGAAGGGGAAGGAAAGGAAGGGATTTAGTTTCTTCAAGAAATCAAATAAAAAGACTATATGAACCCCCCAAAGTCTGCTCCAATATGTCCCCCAAACCAAAAGTTGAAGAACATATCCTTAAATAAAAACCCATGAGTTTCTGATCAGAGCAGCCTTGGTCACCATGGCAGAAAGCAGAAATGACTCGCACGCCCATCAGCAGACGAGCAGGTAAGCTTAGATACATAAGAAAGTGAATATACATTTTATGTACTATGATGTAAGTGAGTCTCCTAAATATGATAAGTTAAAAAAAAAAGACATGAAGTGTCATATAGTATAGGATTCCATTTATATAAAATGTCATAATTGGAACAGACTGATCCCCCTGTGGTGATGGTAGGAAGGGCTGGGTACTTAAGTGAGACACAGTAGTGAGTGTGCTAAATGCTACTTAATTGTGAGCTTTAAGATGGGTAAAGTAATGAGCTTTACCACAGAAAAGGTGGCCTCTGTATCTAGAACTCTCTTAATTGCGGGGAGGTCCTGTGACATGACGTGTACTGTTAACCATGTTTAAGGGCACAGCTCTGTGACACTAAGCACGGTCATGCCAATGTACAACAATCACTCCCAGCCAACCACAGAGCTTCACCTTATGAAACTGAAGTTGTGCCCATGAAACCCCCACTCTCCGTTCCCCACCAGCCCCAGCCTGTTTAGCCTCCAAAACACCTCACCAGAATGGAATTTTACAGCTCAAAATTATGTGTCAGAGTTTCCTTCCTTTTTAAGACTACTTAACATTGCATTGTGCAGATAGCCCGCATTTAGCTTTTCTCCCCTCTGTTGATTGGCCTCCCAGCTTTCACTTCTAAGCTGTTGTGAACAATAATCTCGGCCGTGCGGTTTTCTGTTCTACATCCTCGGGTCAGACAGGCTCTCCCCACTGATCTCTAATGTGTGCCTTTCCACAGAATCTATTCTCAGCATGGCAACCAGCATCTTGTTCTGAGGTCCCGGGGCATCACTCCTTCCTTTAAAGCTCCTATCAGCTTCAGTCACGCCCACAGCAGCAGCAGCAGCAGCAGCAACAACAACAACAACAGTCTTCACAACAGCCCTGGTCAGAGTTGATGCTGCCCTGTATCCCAGGTCCACAACCTCTATAGGGCCTTCAAACCTCTAAAACCAGTTGTGTCAGGTAAGAGTGCACTTGCCTCATACAACCACCTCTCCTGAGGTGACCTCAGTAAGGTGTCACCCAGATGCTCCATTTGCAATGCAATGTGTCCAAGAGCAATGCAATGTGTCCCACCCCCACCCCCCATCATTTGAGCTCACGTGCTCGCCTGAAGTGGAAGCTTCTGGATGGCAGGGAATTCTCCCCCTGCTTGGCTCTCTGCGGTTTCCCTGTGCCCAGCCCAGCAGGATTCAGTGAACACCTGCTGAGAGCACACATAGAACGATCCAGACAGCACTTACCTTTCTGAGAAGAGCAGGCATCTCTGGGCATGCAGCTTCCCCTTCACATGTGTCTCCCAGTCCTAGAAGACCAGAGAAAGGACCAGCGTTGAACTGAGTCCATGGGAAGGCAGAGGATGAAGACAGTTGCCACCAGCCAGGCAGGGAGCACAGAGCACCCTGAGGCTGGACCACCAGGACACCCCATCATCTCTTTCCCTGCGTCTCCTTATTCCGGGTGCTGCTGCCCCAATGCCCATCTCTCTAACCCCTTACTTGCATTCCCTGTAGGGTGTCTAGGATGACTACCCAGACTTGAAGTCAGATTCCTTTGTCTCCTGTCCGTAGACCCCCGACCCATCTCTGATCTCATGCTCGTCCTCCATCTGCCTCTCTCTGGTCTGAGGTATAGGGAGTTATAAAGCCTCAGAGAAGACTGAGAGACAGGGACCTCCAGCAGCACTGCCCTCACTGAGTGGAAAGGTGCGTCTCACTCACTCAGGTCACAGACGTGCATCTGAGAGACATGACCTGGGCAGCGTGAGAGACACCCATGCTGTGACTCCCACTAAGGAGGAACTGTACTGTGCTCTGGGACAGGATGGGAGAGGGCTGCATGGCAGCAGGCCAAGGGAGGCTGCACCTATGACTAAACCTCCTCTCTGCCACTCTCTGCCTAGGTGGTCAGGGTCGACTCATCTGTGGAAAGAAGGAAATGACAGTATCTACCTTACTGGAGTATGGTGGCACATGCCTACAACTCCAGCACCCAGGAAGGCAGCAACTAGCCTCAGCTATGAGTCCAAGATCAGCCAGAACTAAATGAGACCCATTCTCAAAATACAATAAAACAACAACAAAAACCAACCTCAGTATCTCCTCATACAGTTACTAGTAGCACATGGAAAGAGTTTAATGTCTGTCAGCTGTTACCTATGTTTTATTATGGCTTTGAAATATTTCACTGTATTATCAATAAACCTTGGAGCAAACATTCTTCCTGGGCAGGTTCTGTCCACAGCAATGCAAAAGCACTTTTCCAGGGCTTGGAGACTCTTCCTCCACTTGGCACGTTTTGAGTCCTCTTTAATGGTTTGTCTGGGTCTGGTCTAAGAATTGATCTTTTGCCCTTGACCCAGAATTCCACTTGTCCCTCTTTCAAACTCAGTACAACATACATATTGAAGGAGCTGAAGCTTCTAGAAAGTCCAAAGGAGAAAAAAATCCTCAAAGGGAAAGAGGAAACCACTGCCTTTTCATCTATCTAGGGGAAGCTATAAGCTATCCTCTGCCTTAGAGCAGAGAAAGGACCTGGATGTAGTTCTAAAACTCTTGGCTCTACAACCTACGATTTTCTTGAAGGGCATTGGTGAGTTCAGCACCGTAGTCCTCAAATCAACTCCTCTTAGATGCTGCTAGAGTCCCTACTTGGGTCCCAACCCTTCTTGGGTGACTCACCTTCAAGTCAAACACCTTCTTGTCACAGATGCTGCAGATGTGTGGTAGGTGGAGTGGAGCCAAGCCTCGGAAGTCGTTCAGTTGATGGCCCTGCAGGGGCCTCATGGACAGCATGGCCTGCCCTTCCTTTGTCCTCCGGCAGGAGCAGCTGAACCCCTGCTTGCTGTTGTTAAGCCGAGATCCAAAGGCAGGAGGGGCCCTGTCTGAGGTGGGCTCCTCAGGGTCATACAGCTCATAAGGCTGGCTGGCAGGTGGAGCCCACAAATTGGGCCCTGCTGTAATATCAGGCTTGTTTTGGCCAGAGAATCCAGAGGGCCTCTCCCACTGGCTGTTGGTACCTTGCAACAGCCCACCAACATCTCCTTTCATGCTCCCAGCCTGATCAGCTGGAAATCCACCTGCTACATGTGACCCTTGGGCATTGGGTCCGTAGAAGTCTTTAGAGAAGGCAGCTTGGCCATCCTGCCCTGTATGGCTATAGTGCCCTTCATAGGCCACACTGCCTGATGCTGTGGCCGAGGCTGGGGTTGGCAAGAAGCCTGACTGGCCCTCCGTTTCAGAACTGTACACCTGGCCGGTGTTGGCCTTGCCATACTCATAGAACCCTGTAGTAGCAGGTGTAGGCCCAGCCTTCCCAATGCTTAGGATGACGGCTGGCTGGGCAGGGGTCTGAGGCACCACCCCACTGAAGGTAGGTACTACCATAGCGTTGGGAGGCTGGCTGGGGAGGCTCACAGAAGGCCCCAGGCCTCCTGTCTGGCTTGGGGGTGAAAAGGCGATTGCAGTTGAGGGAAAGTGAGCACTGGGAACGGAGGCGGCATGCTGGGAGACCCCAGCAGGGCCATGTGTGGCGCCGAGCACAGACGGATGCCGGAGCTGGTTGAAGAGAGGCTGGGACATGGCCACTTTGGAGAGGACTTGATTCAGGACCGTGGCAGCTGCAGTGTTGTTGGTGACCGCAGTCTGTGCCATCTTCAGCCGATGGAGGGTGAGCTGGGCCTGTATCTGGGCCAGCTGGACGCTGGCTGGCGAAGTGAGCAGAGGGTTCTGGTTATTGACAGAGAAGGGGCTCTTGTCCAGGAGCTTGGCAGCGCTGCAAGGAAGAAAATAGGTCCACATGCATTGCTGGTTTTCAGTGACTGGCAAAGGGCTGCATTTGCACGTCAGTGGCCCCTTTCCCAGGTAAACAAGACCCTGCTTCACAGGTCCTACATACAAGTGATCACATGTTAGGAAATGTCCAATAGAAAAGGCCAGGCAGGACTCCCAGTGGAGGGATAAGGACGTCAACTCACCCACAAAACCTTCAACCCAAAATGTGCAGGGACGATGACAGAGACTGGGAGTGGCCAACGAATGACAGGCCCAACTTGAAATCTATTCCATGGGCAAGCACCAATCCCTAACACTACTAATGATATTCTGTGATGCTTGCAGACAGGAGTCTAGCATAACTGTCCTCTGAGAGACTCCACCCTGCACTCCCTAGCTGACCAAAACAGATGCAGGGACCTACAGCTAAACAGTAAATGGAGCCCGGGGAGTCCTGTGAAAGAGTTGGGGGAAGGATTGAGAGTCTGGGAAGGGAATAGGAACGCTACAATAAGACCAATAGAGTCCACTAACCTGGACCCTTAGAGACCAGAAATTGAACCACCAACCAAAGAGCGTACAAGGGGCTAGACCTAGCACCCCAGCCCCCAAGTATGTAGCAGATATACAGCTTTGTTTTCATGTGGGTCCCCCAACAACTGAAGCAGGGGCTGTCCCTGAATCTGTGGCCTGTTTGTGGATCCTGCTCCCCTAACTGGATGTACCTAGTCTTTCAGCAACTTGAGGTGCCAGGGTGGGTTGGTATCCAGAGAGGACCTCCTCTTTCTCAGAGATGAAGAGGAGGAGGGACCATGTGAGGAGGGACTGGGATGAGATGAAGGGGCTGGCTGTGATTAGGATATAAAGGAAAGAAAGGAAAGAAAGAAAAAGAAAGAAAGAAAGAGAGGGAGAGAGAGAGAGAGAGAGGAGGCCATATGGCAGAATTTCAGTCTCCCTGGTAATTAGAAGCAGCCATTACCAAAAGAACACTTGACTAACAAAACGTCCAAAATTAAAAACACAGATTCCATGATGGGGAAATAAGGTTAAAAAAAAAATGTCAGCCAGGTGTGGTGGCTCAAAGTGAGATCCTGTCTTAGAAAAGGACGTAGAGTGAATTACAGTTTATTCTGTAGCTTTGATAAACACAAGTCTTTACTGTCATTGTCTGACTCAATAATTCAGTTGTGAAAATACTGACAAAGGCAAAACTTGATAGCTGAAAATGTTCCTAGGACGCAAACAACTAAAAATTATAAAATCCAGCAAGAAGGAGACAGATACATAAGTAACTTTTTTTCTATCACTGTTTAAATGTATACATTTCTTATTGTAACATTTAGGCTTCAGAAGTTGTGCACAGGGCCAGCAAGATGCCTCAGTGGGTAGAGGGACCCTGTACTGTTAAACATTAATTGGGGGTTCATATCCTACCTTAGATCATTTAGTTCCCAAATCAAAGACACAAAAGCTTCGTATTTATAGTAAGCCTTAAAACACTAGAGCTGGGCGGATATCAACCCTGCATGCTATTTTGAATTCCCTGTCAATAACTCCATGATATAACTTGTCATCTTCTACCTGGACCCCGGAGCCCCATTGGCCATCCTTCATGGTCATGCTCTCAGGATTAACCTACCCCAAGGAGTCTCCTCTCTGCTCTCCTTGTGATCTCTGCTTCAGACCCCAGCCCAGAGGAACCAACCCAAGCACTGCTTACTTCTCTTCTCCCCAGCTATAGGCCGTTGACATCTTTATTAACCAATAGTTCTAAATTAAGGAGCAAGATTTGTACAACAAAAGCTGGTAAATGTGAGAATTCCCTCATAGGCTTAGAACTTCCAGTACAGAATTTAGCATTACAATACGTAGCAATGGACCAAATCTCAACAGAACCCACCATTAATCCTGACTACCTGAGATTGATCTCTAGCTCCCATATAGTGGAAGGGGAGAACTGACTCTCACAGGCTGTCCTCTGACTGCCACGTGTGTACTATGACACATGCATATGCCTGGCCCAATAATAATAATAATAATAATAATAACAACAACAACAACAAACATTTGTAGAGACTGTGTTCTGTACCACACATAAGAGAAAACCCAGCCCAGCATGCTAACTCCCCACTCCATCATTTTAGCAGCATGAGAAATTCCATATGCTCCTTGGCTTGAAAAGTATGCCAGAATGAACTGCATATATATTTATGACACATACTTTCATCCTGGCCCTCATTTCAAATCCAAAAACAGTAAGACAGATTTTACATATAAGTAGTATATACAACAATCAAAAAACTTGTAAGTGAAAAACAAAATCTAAATTTGAAGTAGTAAATGATGGTCAATTCTCACAGAATCTTATGAGAAACGGGAGGAGTTCTCTGCCATGTATCTCTCTTGTGGCCTTGTCCGT